TCGCGGCCTCCAATGGCCTCCAGTGGCCTCCCGCAGCCCCCAGCGGCCTCCAGCGGCGCGGGCAAACGACTGTGGACCCCTGGAGGCGCACGAAAGCCAGGCCAACTGACAATAAGAGGCTCCCAGGATCGTCATCTGAACCACCCCGTTTGGGGACCCCCGAGCCAGGGAGCACACCCCTTGGCGACGCCCCGGACACCTCTGGGCCTTGCGCGGCGGCTCGCCCGCCGGCTGCGGGCCCCGCGCGGCCTGCGGGAGCGCCGGCGGAGGAGAAGCCGCGCCCGTCGCACGCCGCCCGTCGCCGAGGGAGAAGGAAGGAGGAAGGAGGGAGGAGGGAGGAGGAAAGGATGAGAGAAAGGGAGGAGTTAGGATGGTGGAGGGAGGAGGAGCAGTAGGCGAGGAGCGAGGAGGGGGAGGGAGGGAGGGAGGGAGGAGGGAGGGAGGGAGGGGGGAGGGAGGGCTTCTATTATGTCTTTCTTCTATTCTTTCTTTAATATTGATTTTCCATTCTTAGTCTTCATTCTTGTTGATCTGTACTTCTTATGTCTTCTTCGTCTACATGCTTTTTTTATTCTATTCTTCTATTTCCATCTTATCTTCTTTCTTCTCTTCTTTCCTTCTTTCTTCCTTTCCTTCTTAGTCTTCTTCTTTCTTCTTCTTTCTTCTTCTGTTATTCTTCTTGCTTATTCTTCTTCTTCGTTCTTCTGGTTTCTACTTCTTCTATCCTTTCTTCTTAATTCTTATTTCTTCTTTCTTCTCTTCTTCTTCTTCTTCTTCTTCGTTCTTCTCGTCGGTTCTTCTTGTTTCTTCTTCTTATTCTTCTTCTTACTTCTTTTCTATTTTCCTTATCTGCGTCTCATGCTCACTTCTTTCTTTCTTACTTCTTTTACTTCTTCTTTTTTTCTTTTTATTTTTCCTTCTTCAAGGGAGGAGGGCGATGCATCGTCCATGCATCGCCGATGTATCGGCGATGCGGCTGGATCCTCCCGCCCCATCTACTCTGACCCAAGCTAGGTGGCCTCTGAAGAAGGAGATCAAAAAGGTAGTAAGTGGTTAATATGTGTGTAATGGAGGGGGTTGGTAGTGAGGGTGGAGGAATCCTCAGAGTGATGTTCTCTCCTCAGGCCTCGAAGTGAGCGTCGCAGCTTGAGACCCAAGTGCCGTCGGATCACTTTGGATACTGGCGGTTCCCTTTCGGGATCACGTATTGGATTCACGTCGGATTCAACGTTTCCGTGTTCGGAGGACTGACGGACTCACGGTCGGAGCAACTGCTCCACTCCCGCGCGAGGCTCGTCACAGGACAGGAAACAATCTTCCGGAGCGGGAGGGAAGAGCGGACCATATGGCTTATGGTCCAACAAACTATTTCGAGCCGCACGAGGCCTTCAAGAGGAGGAGAGGGAGGAGGAGAGGGAGGATGAGGAGGAGGAGGAGGAGGAGAAGGAGGAGAAGGAGGAGGAGTAGGAGCAGGGGGAGGAGGGGGGAGCTAGGAGGAGGAGAGTAGGAGGAGGTGAGGAGGCAGGGAGGCTCCTCGTCGTTTTGCCCATACATCATTATTTTCTCATTATAGCATATGCGGTAGGGGAAGCATAGGCTATCCCCGTGAGTAGTGCAGTGTACGAGCGTCTTCGGCTTGCGTCTATTCTTTCTCGTAGCGGGATTTCGTCTTGCGGTTTGCGCCTTTCGGCGCTGCTTGGAGGGTTACTGCGTGACTGTTCGGCTGCGGTGTCTTCGTGTCGCGGTCGGCTGGCTTGTCGTTGCCGTCGTGCCTGTTGCCGTCGGCGTCCGTTAGTCATTTCTCCTCTACCATCTTTTGTCTTCGTCTTTTCGTGACCCTGGGCGGTCTCGTGCGTGCTCGACCCACCCGGCTCCTTGCGCCTCGTTCCGCGGTTGTTGCTGGGTGCCCTCGTCCCGGTGTCGGCCCCTTTGTGCCCTGGGCCGCTCGCTGGGGCTGGGTGCCCTCGCCCGGTGTCGGGCCCCGGGGCCCTGGCAGATCGCTGGGGCTCCAGAGAACAGCGGCAGAACGACCGGGCCCAGGGCTCTGGCCGTGATTTGTCGCGGTGCTGCACTGGTCTCGCCACGCCGGCTGTCGAGGTCGTCGGGGCTCGGGGTCGAGGTCCTAATTGCTCTGGAGGCTCGCTTCGGGCGTCTCCGAGCCCACCGGAACGTGCTTGTCGACACTGCCGGATTCCCCTCGAGCGTCTGGCCGGAACGCGTCGTCGTCGACGTCGACGTCGACGTCATGGTCGTGGTCGCGGTCGTGGTCGTGGTCGTGGTCGCGGTCGTGGTCGTGATCGCGGTCGTGGTCGTGGTCGTGGTCGTGGGCGTGGTCGTGGTCGTCGTCGTGGTCGTCGTCGTCGTCGGCGTGGTCGTGGTCGTGGTCATGGTCGTGGTCGCCATCGTCGTGGTCGTGGTCGTGGTCGTCGCCGTCGTCGTCGTCGGTGTCGTTGTCTTTGTCGCCGTCGTCGCCGCCATCCACCGTCGCCGTTGTCGCCTGACACCGCCGTCGCCCGAGCGCCGTCGTCGACGGTGTTCTCTGTCCCACACCCCTGAACTGCCCCTTCAGAAGCTCCCGAGAGGCCCCCCGAGAGATCCCCAGAGGCAACCGAGAGGCCACGGACTACGACCCAGACAGGGCGGCAGGGCGGGCCGAGCACCACAGTTGGAGCTCGGGACGGGCGCGCGCTCCCGCCTGGGCCCTTGCTCGCGCCAGGCGCACAGAACAGCACGCGGGTCCGAAGCGAAGGCAACAATTCACGCGCGCTGGCGCGCGACCCCTTGCATCCGGTGGCACAGCGATGGAGACAGTGCGCCACACTCTGCTGGCCAGAACCAGTTCGGTGGCAACACATGGGAGCCTCCCATACCATCTTGTCGGCTCTTGCGAATCGACGCTAATCGACGCTAATCGACGCTAAATCTACACTCATCGATGCTAAATCGACGCTAATCGACGCTAGCCGACGCTACCATCGACGCTACCTCGTCGACTCTCAGACGCTAATCGACGCCCACCGACGCCGAAGACATAACCAAAAAGGCACCCCAGGCCCCCATGAATTGCGACCAAAAAGACCAGGGCTGGGCCGCCTCGGCCCCCCAAGCCCGTTCGACCCCCCCCCCGGGTGCGAGCCTCGCCCGCGTCCGCGGCGTCGGCTTCCGTGCCAGGCGCGGCCTCCGCCTCCGCCTCCCCGCCGGCCCCGGCGGCGCCGTCGGCTCCGCCGTCGGTCGCGGCCTCGCGCGCGGGGCACGCGGTGGGTCGGGGCGGCGGCGGTGTGCGGCGTCGCCGTCGCGGCGTCGCCGCCGGGGTGCCGCCGGGGCCGCGGCCAGGCCGAGGCGCGCGAGCAGGCGGGCACGCGCGCGCGAGCAGAGGGGCCCGGGCCGAGCGGGCTTGCTGGCCAGGGCTTCAAGGCGAAGCCAGCCGTGGCGACGATCGCCTCGTGGAAGCCCAGAGGCCGAAAGCGAGGGAGGAGTGGCGGCATCGGTATCTCGGACATAGGAAAAGAAGCCACCGCCCTCTTCCTCCCTCTTCCTCCCCCCTCCAACCCAGAAAAAGAGAGGGCGCCCACGAGCAACGTGGTCCCGAAGTTTACAGGTACGCCTGCGAAACAGCTGGAGGTTGGAGGCCCTTCCGGCGCTGTGGCAGGACACCGTTTCTTCGGCCACCACGTGGCGGGTCGCAGTCAGTAAGTATTGCGATACCACGTGACAGTGGCTGTGTGCTCATGTGCGTTTGGTACTCAGCCATGGTACCCGCTGGCCGACCTACCCCTCTAAGCAGGGATGGCTGCCGCACCAATCCCCGCCAACCCGGAAGGGGATACGCCGAGAGGGTGCGAGCTTGCCCTGTTCTGGTCGGGGTTGAGAAGCGCAGCAGTATCAGCACCCACTCCCCCTCCGTATGACCACGCCACCTTCCTTGCAAGTCAATGCTGAGGGACAACGATAGGGGAGACACCAGCTTAGAGGCTGACACAACGAGCTGGCATCGGCGACGCATCGCCGACTGATCAGCGATCGGCGGTAATCCCCCGATAGTGGAACCGCGCGTTCCTGGGCGGCATGGACTGTCAGGCCCCCCGTCGGCGATCAGTGGGCGACTGGGGGTTTATCAATGCGTTCCCCCCTGATCCGACCTACAGTCATCGGCCTGACCTAAGGAACGATAAATAAGGAACGAAGTCTCTTTTTATCCCAAGGAATAACGCATAAGGAACGATCAATAATATATAACGCATAAGGAACTGTAAATAACGCATGTACGATCTAAGGAACGACCGAGCCCCTTTTGAAAAGTAAGTGTTCCTTATTCAAGCCGCTCACTGTAGAAAAACAAACAAACTTCAACTTTCGGAGCGCCGTGCGGAGCCCTCGGATCGGCGCAGGGCCCCCTCCCGAGCGCGCCAGGGGCGGCGCCAGAGGCGCCGCCAGGGGGGCTCAGCGCAGATCCATGACGTCCGCGCGGACCTTCGAGACTATATGCTTTTCGTCTTCGACCATCCCCGCCGAACGTGGCCCCTGGAGCGCACGCTTCGCGGCAAGCCGTGGGGACCCCGTCCCGAGCTCTGACGGCACCCGGAGATCAGCGCCCACCACGAAGGCTGCAGCGCCGGCTGCCCCGACGAAGGGCGGGCCCGCCTCGTCGCCTCCCGCGGCGTAGGGGTCGGCCTCCGCGAGGTACCTCGGCGCCGGCGGCCGCATCGACGCCCCCCTCCTCCTCCTCCTCCTCCTCCTCCTCCTCCTCCTCCTCCTCCTCCTCCTCCTCCTCCCTATCCTCCTCCTCCTCTCTGCTCTTCCTCCTTCTCCTCCTCCTCCTCCTCCTTCTCCTTCTCATCCTTCTGCTCCTTCTCATCCATCCTTCTTCCTTCTGACTAATTCCTCCCTGTCGCAACCCCTGAAGCGTCGGTAGGGCGGCCCGGGCGTTTCGCCTGAGACTCATCCGTCACTTATGATCCTGAAGCTTTCAGGTTTGCAACAGTGGATGGAGGGCAGGTTGTTCCCAAAATGGGGTTTTCGTCTCAGCGCCGCAAAAATGTGTGGCAAACGTGTGCAATAGTATGGAGGGCGGATCATTTTCAGAGTGGTGATCTCGCTTTGGCGCCGCGCACATCAGTCTTTGACATGTGCAACATGTTCAGAGGATAGAGGGCAGTACCTTTTCAAACAGGGGCGCGCTGGTCTCTCCAGGTGGCGCTGCCTGAAGAAAGAGGAAGGCCTGTAAGGGAGTGATGAGGATGGAACTTTGGACGGGAAGGTGTATTGCAGCATCGTTGATGCAGATTGGGTTCACTCTGCTCCTTATATCATCCTCATCATCATCATCATCATCATCATCATCATCATCATCATCATCATCATCATCATCATCATCATCATCATCATCATCATCATCCTCCTCATCATCACCATGACCATCATCGTCGTCACCGTGGCAAGCATCCGCCACCGTGCCCTTGGGCACAGCGGGCGTGTCATCAGGTCCTGTGCCTAATCATCTGAGACGCACTCCTTACGCCTGAGGATTACGGAAGGACCCATACCCCTCGCTCCCAAATCTCTCGGGGCTTCCCGCGGCTTGTCGGGGATCCGGCGGGTCTTGTCGCACGATTTTCCGGACCCGAAAAAGCCTCCAGACGGGCCAAGAGGGCCCCCGAAGGCCCCAAAGACGGCCCGAGAGAGTCCCGAGTCGCCGAAACGTCATTCGAAGACGCCCAAGATGGCCCCAAGATGGCCATAGAGGCCTCCAAGACGCCCCAAAAGGCCTCCGAGAGGCCTCCCAAGATGGCCCCAAGAGGCGCAAAGCATTGATTCTCATTAGGTGTTTGAAGGATTTGGGCGTTCTCGCCCTCGTTTTCCCCGACGCTCCGGAACGGCCCAAGAGGCCCCCACGACCACCCAAAGACGGCCCAAGAGGCCTCCGCGAGGGCCCGAAGGCGGCCCAAGAGCGCTACAAGACGGCCCAAGAGACGCCCAAGACGGCCCAAGAGGGCCCCAGGACGGTTCCAAGAGGGGCCCGAGAGAGGCAACACGAACCGAAAATCCGAGCCTTCCGCCCCAAGAGCAGAAGGCGCCCAAGAGGCCACCAAGGCCCCAAGGGAGCCCCCAGAGGCCCCAAAGGAGGCCTCCAAGAGGCCCAACAGAGAGAGGCCCCACGCGGACCCAGCCGAGACCTCACAGCTGCCCGGGGGAGCTGCGCACTGCGCAAGCGTCGCCACTTCCGTGGGCCCCTGGGAAACACGGCGGACTAGGGGAGTACGCGGACCCGGCCGAGACCCAGAAGCTCCTTGAGGGGCTGCACACCGCGCAGCCGGCGGCGGATCAGGGGACGCACGCGCTCCCGGCCGAGGAGCTCGCCCATCCCCAGGGCACTGCGAAGTGCACAGCTGTCACGATCTTCGTGGGCTCGCGGGAGGCCCAGCGGAGTGGGGGACTGCGCGCACCCAGCCGAAACCTCGCAGGTCCCTCGGGGGCTGCAAACGGCGCAGGTGTCGCGTTGCCGTGGGCTCCCGGGAGGCTCGGCGGAGTCGGGGGCCTCGCGCGCCCGGGCGAGGCCTCGCCACCTCCCCGGGCGGCCACGGACTGCGCGGCCGTCGCCGCCTTCTCGTGGACGTCCCGTGGGCACTCTCGCGGAGTGCCCGAGGCCTCGCAGCTCCCTGGGCGGCTGCGAACTGCGCAGTTGTCGCCACTCTCGTGGGCTCCTGGGCGGCACGGCGGAGATGAGGGCAGCGCTGATCGAGCATATCTGGCGACCTTGTGTGGGGAGCGTTCATATCAAGATTCGCCCCGCGTGGGGAAGAGGGCTGGGCACGTCTCGGGTAAGTTGATGGGCTCCTTGGTAGAAAAGAGAGTGAGTGAGTGAGAGAGAAAGAGAGAACCCCACAAAAACCCAACCTGCGATTTCTTCCTGAGCAGGACCCGAACTCGCTGCTGTCTCTGGAGCTCCCTGGGGGAAACCGCCAAGCCAGTGCACCGCGGGCGCGGTCTGGGCACGCGGCTCGCCCCCCAAAACAGCCGAGACGGACGCGAGCAGTCAACGAACCGGGCGGCATGGAGAAGACAGGACGGGGAGCACGTGCCGAGGCAGGGGGAGGTAGACGCAGCGACGACGTGCCAGCGCGGCGGCGCCGCCAGCGCCATCGGCGCCGCGCCGGGCACGACCTCAATGTGCAAAAACGTGTAGCCCGAAGGCCTTCGACACCAAAGAGGCAGCAGAAGGAAAAGGGAGGCAGTGGGATGCAACCAACCCATATAGTGAGGATGCAAGGGCCTTGGAAGTCCGTGTTGACGTTGTTCGAACGAAGTTTGCCAGCGAAGGTCGCTAAGGACGGGCCGGAGGGGCAAGGATGTAAGGGTAGCCTTGGGAAGACCGGTTATCCTTGATGTGCGGATTTGCAGGTGGGGAGCGGGGGGGAGGGGGGGAGATCCCCAAGGTGCGAAGAAAAAACAATCCCGTGCCCGCTCGACTCGTTTCAGACAGCCTCGCCCCCCCGGCAAGGT